CAAACAATGTCGGGAAAGAAACAGATGAATAGAACTGAAAACACTGATTAATAATATAATTTTCCATTATTGGAATCAAAGAAGATTGAAAGAAGAGAAGAAAAGAAGAGAAAAGGAGGTGACGACGGCTAGAGTTTCCCCATGCCATAGTCGCTCCTCTCAACTCAACATTTACAATCTGAGTTTCTTATTAACACAGATCAAAATCACCGTTCTACAAAAACTTAAGGTATACATCTCCAAAATTCATAATTAATACCTTACAAATTTCCATCACTATGTAAGTTTATCATCACTAAAATTTACAACAAATTATTACACATATAAGTCCAATGCATCACGAACTTAAGATATATACTTTATCTCTCTCTTCAAAATCAGGAGGACTATAGCACAATTCAGCGGCATCCCTCATTGCTTGATAGGCCCAACCAAGATTATTAGCAGGCAGAGACTCTAAGAAGCATCCATGTCACTGGATCAAAAGATTTTATGCCTATAGAGTTCAAAAAAGAAAGACCATGATTGTGACAAATTTCTACAACATATATTAAAATGAAATATACTCATGTTGATACTACCACAGGAAATCGATATAATTTTGATAGAGGTGCAAATGTTTATACATTTTTGGCACTTTTTGCTGTAACTCATTTTATTTAAAAAGAACAACAAATTTTATGCTAATAAAATTATTTTCTTTTATCCATATGAAGAACTAGAACTATAAATCATAACAAAATGTAAGATTCTAATTACTTTTTTCTTGATACTTATTATATCTTTATTTAGTAAAATAAAATGGAACCTTTCTTGGAATAAACTTCTTGGTGATGATCCTGGAAAGGTTATGCACTATTAACAAACATTAAATCTACTCAAGGAAGATAAACTAACCTCCAAGATTGATATTGGTTGTACTTGTTGTGAGATCCTGAATTAATTATACACAAAAACAACATTGATAAATTAGGAGCAATTAAAGTGTGATATCATACAAAAGAATCAAAATGAGTCCATTGGCACACATAGCAATGTCCTTATTAATGCTAAAATTTATCACAATGTGGACAACAAAGAAGCATTAACATGCATTACCAGTTTAATTCTCAGTTGCAGGACAACCTAATTTTTTTCTGATAAACTGAATTTTTGGATGTAGTATTGAAGTCCGATATCACACTTCTGTAGCTATTATGAAACGCTTTTCAATATAAAGTTCCTCATCCAAAAACATTATAAAGAAACACGTGAGATTTACAAACTGAAAAGATCCATTAAAGCTACAAACTTTTTATAGTGACTTCATAAAGCGACTTCAATAAGGAAAAAGTGCATTTTTTAAGTGAAAAAATGATTAAAATAACAGTGGTCAATTAGAAGGCAGAAAACGTGCTAGCAGTACTGTCCTCACAAACCTCCATAAGCCTTCCACGCGCACTTTGTCCTCACTCATGCGTGCCCTGAGAGACTTCCCAGGGGGTCACCCATCCCAATTCTACTTTTCCTTCTGATGACATTGAAGCTGAAAGTTCAAACCCAGTACAGAATTCATGTACCAACTGCTCTCAAGAAGGCCACACTCAGAACCTGTGTTCTAACAACAACAACTTAGATGAGGTAAATCACCTCAAACTTTAAATGTCAGTTTTAACATTTTTGGCATATGAATATCTTGGTATATTTTAAGTGTGTGTATGAAAGTGCCAGGAAAGCAATGGTGCCAATGTACCTGCATCACAACCAAATGTTTTTGGTAGTACTTTACAAGCTTATTTTATTGAAAACCAAGGCTCAGAGGACACAGGTGGTGAGGGTGTATTCCAATGAAGAGGGAAAAAAGCAATTACTGCTGGTGGTTTGGAGGTATGGTTGCCTATTTATAAAATCCAGTTCTATATTGCTTTACAAAATGAGAAGGAAAATGAATGTAAGTAATGGTTTGGTTTGAATTTGTGCAGAGACTGAGAGCAAGTAAAGAAAAAGAAAGGAATGCCAATGCAATTAGATTAAGGAAACGAGGTGCTGAAGAGGTGGAATTTCATGCTGATGCCACAACTGCAAGACAGAGGTTCCATGCTTTGTATGACTCCATGGAAGACAATGATGGGCATTAGTTAGCTTATGTAATGTTGGTCAAACATTAAGGACAATATAATATATTTTGGGAAGATCCTATTGCTATTTTTTGCATAATATACGGGCTTTTAAGGATCTTAAACACTAGAAGATATGTATATGGGCTTATGAGGGTCATTTGCAAGTTTTTTGTGTTATTTTTACTTGCATATGATATTCAGGTGATGTAGGGTTAAACTTGAAACATGTATGTATTAAACTCAATGCTTTTAGTTCATGGGCTTTAAGTTCATGTATGTTGTGAATGAAATATCAGTTATTCAGTCAATGTATAAGTTCATGTATGTTGTGAATGAAATATCAATTATTCAGTTAATGTATAACTTCATGTATGTTGTGAATGAAATATCAGTTATTCAGTCAATGTATCAATTATTTAAGGTCAATGATTTAGGTCATTGTTCAAGCTCAAATCTCACTTAATGTTTGACTTAAGTGTGTTCAGATATGAGGTCATTGTTATAGTTAAAATTTTAGTTGAAGTTTGAGGTCATTGTTTAAGAGCAATGTTTCAGTGAACAAATTTGTACTACTTTCAGGTTAGGTTTTGAGGTGTTTATATATCAGGTGATATGTCAGGTTTAGACTACATGTAAATTTTTAGGTCAATTTTTCAGCTCATTATATCAGGTCATATATCAGTGCATGCTGGAGGTTATTTTTTAGTATTAAGGTCATTGTAAAGGTCATATCAGGCCATATTTGAGGTCCAAGTCAGCCCATTCATTTACTCAGGTTTGATCACTGTTGCAGATCAATACTGACAAAGTTTGAGGTCCATATCAAGCCATATTTGAGCTCCTCCTTTGAGGTCATATTTCAGGTCATTGTTAAGGTCATATTTAGGCCATATTAGGCCATATTTGAGGTCATATTTAGGCCATATCGGGCCATATTTGAGCTCCTACTTTGAGGTCATATTTGAGGTCATTGTTAAGGTCGCATCAGGCCATATTTGACCTCATACTTTGAGGTCATATTTCAGGTCATTGTTAAGGTCATATTCAGGTCATATCAGACCATATTTGAGCTCCTACTTTGAGGTCATATTTCAGGTCATTGTTAAGGTCATATCAGGCCATATTTGAGGTCATATTTAGGCCATATCAGGCCACATTTGAGGTCATATTTAGGTCATATCAGGCCATATTTGAGGTCATACTTTGGTGTTTATTTCAGTCAAGAATGATCATTGTTTCAGATCATATCAGGGCCATATTTGAGGTCCATATCACCCCATTGCTTTAATCAAGAATGATCATTGTTGCAGATGAATACAAGCAAACTTTGAGGTCCATATCAGGCCATTGGGTGTTATTGTCAAATGAAGTTTGAGTGCATTGTTTGAGTTAAAATATGCAATTGGGTGCTAATATCATGGTAACAGATGAATGGTCAACATACAAGTCATTCTACATATCATTCAAAGCTACAACGTACAAATACTGTGCTACATCATAGCACACATAGTGATACACCTAAATTACATCAACTTAAACTGATACATCAAACCTAAGCAAATGATAAATCATACCTAAGAACTAATACATCAAACATCAACTTTAAGTGATACACCTAAGAACTGATACATCAAAGCCAAGAAAGTGATACATCAAAGCTAACAAAATGACACATCAGTTCATAAAACTTCCATTCAAACTTAATCCATGCAAGCATCACACATCTTCTAAGCTACCTTCTTCTTGCTTCCACTGTCATTCCAAACAACCCATATCACAAGCAGCACTATTCCTGCAAGAATGCACCACAAGACACTCCAAGTTTTCTATTTTTAGACAACCTTTTTTCCTTTGCATTCTCCTCAACAAGCTAAACTTCCAATTTGTTTATTTTCCTCAACAAACCGGGAATAATCATCTTGGACCTATAACACATTTCTTCATCAAGCCATTCAAACATGTTGCAACAGGACACCTGTACCCTATTTGTAATAATACCATTAATTCAAGAAAAATCAAAATCAACAACAAATCATAAATAACATATTTTTATCGTTCGAATGGCCTTACTCTTGAGCTGCCGGTGAATCATCTCCCTGGATTGTCATTTGTCCATGAAGTCATTATCTTTGCTGGAATTCCACAGTAGCAATTTCCACAAGACATTTGCCTGGTTCCCAAACCTGTAAGCCAAATGGAATACATTACTTTGAGTCATGCTTTGAATACAACAGAAGATTAATAACGAACACAAACCTTCACCTTCGCCGGAGGAAGCCGATATGCCGGAGGACAGAAACGAAGAGAACGAACTCACCTTCACCGTATAATTTGGGCTTATCTCAATTTCTCGGGTTTGATTGGAGTATTTAGGAAGATGCTGAGTTGGAGGAGACAGTTTACCACACAAAGGCTAATTTTTAGCCCAAATCACTAATCTTATGGCCAGCTCAGTAATTTAGCATACCTAACACCCGGAAGGACGAAATTAGACCCGTTTTGGCAATTTAATGTACGTACCGTTGGATCCCAATTGCAGCTTGATGTACTCTTTACTCCCCCGCTCTCAAGTTGATGTACCAAACTGAAACTTTTCTCCTTTTGCATCAATGTATTCTCCGTCGCTGAAGAGCTCGTCCGCAGAAAAAGAAAACGAAAGAGAAAAGGGGAGATCGTTTCAGATTTGGTCACTTTTTTGTCAAATATTTAATATTTGGGGATTAATATTTGTACCATTAGATAAGATATAAGATTTTAAGATATAGCTGGAATTGGTCTTCCAAATCTTATGCGACCACTTGGATGAAATTTCTCTTAATATTTATATTTATACCCTAGTAATATGTGACAAATACCTAAATAATTCCTGCCGTGACAAATTTTTTCAAGTAATAAAAGGACCGGAGCATTGGAGTGACAAATGATGGGCCGGGCTGGGCTGGGCTGGAATGTAGGGAGATTTGGGACATTGCCGGCTGAATAGGTCCACTCGTTCGCGGAAGGGATGGGGATCTCACATGTGCCAGGATCCTAGTTCGCCGGTCTTCCAGGCATCAACTATCGGAACTCTATCTTCTTTCGTCCCCAAACGCTTGGTTGGACCCATTCACCGATCAAAAATAGATCCCCGGAATCATGTACAGAGCAGCGGCTTCTCACGTCAGAGCCCTTAAGGTCTGCCTGCAACCTCTCTCTTTTTCGCTGCATGATTATGATGACTTGTATGATTAACGCGAAGCTGAATCGGCTGGATTCGCCCATGGAGTCTGACTATATATTTGTTTGCTTGTGTCTTATTGTGGGGGGTGCTGTGTGATTGTTTTTAGATCTGACCTGTAGTTCATTGATCAGAATTCAGATTTCTCTAGTCCAATTAAGCAAAGCTTATTAGTGTTAGGAAACATCTAGGGTTTTAGCTTTGTTTGTTTCTCCCGAAGTTGTTTATTCAAGAAATTCGTAATTGAAAGTTGATACTTTTTGGGCAATGATTGAATTTAGGAAGATGTCCAACTTTTTGGGCATTGTATACGGACAGTTCTTTTATCCTTTTACATATACTTATTGGTTCAATAATGAACTACTAATTTTAGCAACTTGAACATTGAAATGCGTCTGTTTGGTGGGTAATACCTAGAGTTTCTGCCTTTTCATTAAAATTGTACTTTAAATTGACAACATATGGGCTCGGAATACTATGATAGGGTCGGGCCAGTAATAAGGTGGTGACCAGATTTGCAAGTTCTTCTGCATTAGCAACGAAACCATCCTCTGCAGGCTTATTTAGTTGGTTAACTGGTGAACGGTCTACTTCCCTTCCCCCTCTAGAATTTCCACTAAAAGATGTTACCCTGCCGCCCCCATTACCTGATCATGTTGAGCCAGGGAAGACACAAATTACTACATTGCCGAACGGCATCAAAATATCTTCAGAAACTTCAGCGGTATGTCCCAATGTATTTACCTCATGAATGCTTGGAAAATACATTTAGTTATATAGGATTTTGTGCTTTCAAGTGATTTAACACAAAATAAGTTCATTTGTATCAGAGTCCTGCTGCATCTGTTGGGTTATATGTCGACAGTGGATCAATCTATGAAACACCAGACTCATTTGGCGCATCACATCTATTGGAACGAATGGCCTTTAAAAGCACATTGAACCGTAGCCACTTGCGTATTGTGCGAGAAGTTGAAGCTATTGGTGGTAGCGTTCAAGCAGCTGCCTCACGAGAACAAATGGTATACACTTATGATGCCTTGAAATCATATGTTCCTCAAATGGTGGAACTGCTTATAGATGCAGTGAGGAATCCTGCCTTTTTAGATTGGGAAGTCAAAGAGCAGGTATCTTTTAATAGCTCTTAGAAAGGGTCTTTTCTTTATCTCTAAGGCTCTGTTTGAATCCCATAAAATACTATGGAACAAAAATAAAGAGGATAATTGAGAATTGAATTGATGAAAGAAACAATAGGAGGAAAATGAAAAAGGGCTCAAAGTCAAATTATTGTTTTTTTAATGAATGAATGACCAAAATATAGTTCCTAGAGTTTCCATGGACAGAAATAGGATTGCTTTAAAGCATAGTAGTCAATGGCTAGATATGGCGCGCACCATATGCGCCATCGCCATGAAAAAGTGGTCATCGCCATAGTGCCAAATGCGCCATTCGTATTTGCGCCATCGCCATGCATCATGAGAAATGCCTTTGAGCCATGGCGATTGCCATGCGCCATGACAACTATGCTTTAAAGTATTTCCAAATAAGTGACTAAATAATTCCAAACTCTAAATCAATCCAAATCTTTTCTATCTCCCAATCAACTGCTGCCACCGGTCGCAGTGACATGTGCCATCACTGGCAGCAGTGGTGACATTAAAAGATACATGTACAGTCACTTTTTGAAAATTTTAAAAAGTGGTCTTATTTTGGTTTTGCTTTTCCTTTAGTCATACTTATGTGTAAACCACCATTTCAATTATATATTTATTATATATAGACTATGAAATCTGAATATATGTTAAATCTAAAAAATAACATTTTTATATTCCTTTGTATTTTCTAATGTAAAGACAATTATACCCAAATATAGCCTAATTAAAATACATAGATTTTTTGAATATCTGTATCACATCTGTGCAGCTTGAGAAGATGAAAAATGAGATCGCAGAATTCTCTAAGAACCCACAAGCTTTACTTTTGGAGGCAGTTCACTCCGCTGGTTATGTTGGACCTTTTGCAAATCCACTTATGGCTAGTGAAGCCTCAATTAACAAGTTAGATGGCACTGCTTTGGAGGAATTTGTTGCTGTGAGTGTTTATATTAGGAGTTTGAGAATTTCCTAAAAATTTAATTTTTCCAATATTTACATTTAGGGGATGTTTGGAACTGATTCTGCTTCTGCTTCTTTTTTAAAACAGAAGCAGAAGCAAAATCACTTTCCAGAACCTGGTCTCCCTTAGTTTCTAAAAAACTGATTCTAGGAGTAAATGAAAGCATCAGAATCACTTCTGCACTTTCATCCAAACACTCCAACTTTTGCTTCTGCTCCTTCAGGGAGCAGAATCAGTTTTGAGAATCAGATCCAAACACCCCGTTACTCTTTGTGTTGATCCTTATTTCTTTGATTAAATCCCCTTTGATAGGAGAATTACACTGCTTCTCGCATGGTGCTTGCTGCATCTGGTGTTGAGCATGAAGAACTGTTGAGGATTGCTGAACCATTGCTTTCTGACTTGCCTAATGTGCCTCGGTATGAGGAGCCTAAGCCTATATATGTAGGAGGTGACTACCGTTGTCAAGCCGAACAAGGGGTGTGTTTTGGAAATGTTGCTTTTGTCTTTTCATTTTTATGATCTTTCATCAAATTAATGACAAATTTTTATAATATTTTGAGCAGATGACTCATTTTGCCCTTGCTTTTGAAGTTCCTGGTGGCTGGCATAAGGAAAAGGATGCAATGATTTTAACAGTGCTTCAGGTTCACTTTCTCATTGCCTAGGGGGCTCAGTTGCCCGAATTCTTGAACAACAATGTTACGTGTTTGCTAGATTGTTTGGTTTGTATACTCATAAGGTTTTTTAAGGGATGCTTTTTATTTTCTATTTTAATTGAGACAATCATGTGGTTTATGGTAATAAATAGATGTCTAAGAATTTGTGGTCAACTGGTCATACTAATGCATTGTTTTTATTATTTTGAACCTCAAATTTATCTGTTTAATTCACTATTTGCTTAAAATAAGAAATAATCCATCCCAGCCCTATCCTCTAAAAACCTCAAAAACATACTATCTAACATACCCTTGGTGGACTTTCTAATTGTGAGGGCTTTGCAGATGCTTATGGGAGGGGGTGGCTCTTTCTCTGCCGGTGGCCCTGGAAAGGGAATGTACTCAAGGCTATGTAAGTTCATACCTTTTGGTTTAATGATTGGCCATTTGTTCAATCTTGTTTTCTTATCTATGTACTATTTTTCATGTGATTAGACCTCCGTGTCTTGAATGAGTACCCACAAGTCCATGCATTCTCTGCATTCAGCAGCATTTACAATAGTTCCGGATTATTTGGCATTCAGGCAACCACTGTAAGTGCAATTATTTAGTTACTCCTTTCGCTGGTAAATAAAGCTCTTGTTTCCCTTCATGGTTGCCTCTAAACAAAAACCCAGTTTCCTAAGGGGAGCCTTGGTGCACTGGTTATGGTGTTGCTCCCTGACTGAGAGGTCAGGGAGCGGCCCCATGTCAGAATTTGACAGGGGAAAGCTTTTCTTCTTTACACCCTTGTGGTGGGATTCTTCCCCGGACCCTCACCATGCAGGGATGCCTTCCTGCACTGGGCTGCCCTTTAACCGTTCTAGTAAAGTAAAAACCCTTACTTCACTAACTTTATTTAATATCCCAGCAGACCACATTAGTTTTTCTCAACCACATATCACAATGCAAAACTTGGAAATAAAACGCAAATCATTTGGTACATTACAAACCATGCAAGTTAAAGTAAAAACTTCAAAAAGAAACAAAGGGAGTACTTCACAAGGTTAAAATAACTTCACAAGGGAGTACTTCACAAGGTTAAAACAACTTTAAATAACTTTTGTTGATAAAATAAAGAAAAGTATATATTCACAAGGTTAAAATGACTTTGTGAAACGCTCATAACTTGATTTGGGGGGGAATTTTCTAAGTGTAATTCTGCTGAAATTGATGATTTTGTTGAAATCTGTGAAATTGTGGATGATGTTGATGATGTTTTTGGAATTGTTGAATTATTAAAATACATATTTAATTATCTTTTGTTGATAAAATAAAGAAAAGTATATTCACAAGGTTAAAATGACCTCTAGCCCTACTTTTATCAATAGTAACCTATTCAGTGCATGGATCAAATAAATGATCTCACTACAACCGCCACAGACAAGCCTACACCCTTGTCACTAAGCTCTTACTGAAGTGAGCAGTTGTTTGTTTAAATTCTGGCTGATAAGGCTGCATATTCATCACAACATATAAAAAAGGGGCAGTAGCATATAAATTTCTTTTTCCATTTCGTTTGCATATAGGAAATTGCACTAACTGAAGGGTGTATTTATGTAACAGTTTTCTGATTTTTCATCAAAAGCTGTTGATATCGCAGTTAAAGAGCTGACTGCCATTGCAAATCCTGGTGAAGGTATGGCATTTGATCTGGATAAATTTTTAATTCAACTAATACAATCAGAAGGAAAAATAAATGATCAATTATTTGTGCCCTTTCCCCAAACAGTTGACCAAAGTCAGCTTGATCGTGCTAAACAGGCAACAAAATCCGCCATTCTGATGAACTTAGAATCCAGGGTATTGAATATGTTCCTCTTGGTCTTGGGATATTACATTCATTTTTCAGACGCGCATGATTTTACCACTATAAGCATATCTTTTTATGTCCTTATTCTTTGATATATCCTTCTTGTAGATGGTTGCATCAGAAGACATAGGCAGACAAGTTTTGACATATGGCGAGAGGTAAGCATTCCTTTTGCTCTTTTGAAGCCAAGCTTAGGTTTGACTTTTGACACAAATAACAATGGTACATGGATATGAGGAGTGGGATTTTGGGTTGAACTGTTGAAGGGTCACAGAACAATGAAAGTTATTCCCCAAAAGGCGATTGGGGAGTTTGATGGGGTTCTCTGTAAACTATATGTTACTCCATATCCGTTTTTTACTGTGATGCAAACGTAGACGCACTCATATCTTGCAATGTAATTGAAAAGGAAGAAATGTGAGCCCCCCTGGTGGGTGCAATTGAAGCATTAGGGACTCCATATTTAGTTGAACTGTAATATGAATGAAGACTCATTCTGCAATATTATCGAAGCATGAAGAAATTAAAATTTTCTTTATTTTGGCTAATTATGACCTAGGAAGTGACATCTCGGCTATGTCCTTGGGTAGCTACCCTAAGTTGCACTGTATTACAGAGTACACAGGAAACACAATGCACCTTTATTTTTATTTTTATTTATATATATATAATTTTATATGTGATTTCTTTTTGTTTCCTTAGGAAACCTGTTGACCATTTCTTGAAAGCAATTGAAGAAGTTTCAGCAAAGGATATTGCATCAGTTGCCCAAAAACTTATATCATCTCCTCTCACCATGGCTTCTTATGGAGACGGTAATTAATATTAATATTGTTTCTTTTTATGAAATTCGTTCCATGCACTTTGGGTTAGCATGTATTGTCAATGTCAGCAGAGTTGCTGACGTGTTCTCTTTTCTTACAGTTCTTAATCTTCCAAGTTATGACAATGTTAGCAGCCATTTCCGGTCCAAATAATTTCCTCAGCTGCAGAATCGGAAACTCAGAAGTTAATAACTTTTTTTTTTTGCACATTTGGAAGTTTTTGAGCTACTCTTTGGCCATATATTTATGGGAATAATCAATCTTTTATAATAATTGAACCTTAGTTTGTGTCTAGCAAAATGCGTAAACTTGATTATTTTATGATTATTACATTGCAATTGTTTCGTGAAGTACTAGTTTATCTTTGTGAAATGCTGGATGCTTGATATGACTTGAATGGAAAGCTATTGGTTCGTTGGAAAATACGAAGGGGAAGTATGGGAGAAATTTGAAATAAGAGAAAAGAGATACTAGTATTTGGGAAAATCGCAGACCTGTATTTCTGAGATTGTAAATGTCACCTCTCAATTGTCCAACTTGTTGTAAATGTGGTCTTTAAGTAGTGAAATGTACCCTCGCCCACATTGCATATTTCACCTCTAAAAAGGACCACATTTATGGCATTTTAGACAATTGAGGGGTGACATTTACAATCTCAGAAAGACAGAAATACAGGTCTGAGATTTTAATTTTGTTGATAACTGAGGGACCATATGTGCGATTTTCCCTTATATCATTTATTCAAATCCAATAAATTAATTGGGAGAAATGGCTATATAGCTGATAAAAATAGGCCATATAATTTCCTTTTTTTTGAAAGCAAAAAAACTTAATTATCATTAATTAAATCAATGTTCAATACGTGAACAATAAAATTAGGAGGAACAGATAACCCAAAACGACAATAACAAGCAGCTAAGCAAACCCGTGAGCTGCTTTGTTGCAGATTGCCTAACAATCTAACATGACCAAAGGAAACATCGCATAACAAATACGGAGTATCATGTATGTCTTATGCTATCAACCCTGTTGCGGATATTCTTGGACCATTTTGAATTTTCATCAGATTCCACATCAATAAGTTCCCAACTATGCTCCTTGACCCATCTAAGAGCCTCTCTAATACTACCTCCGTCCCGTTGGAATGTTCCCACTTTTCATTTTTGGATGTCCCAATGGAAGGTTCTCATTTCCCTAAATGGAAAGTTATCCTACATCAAAACAGTGTCAAACAGTGTCAAACAGTGTCCAGACAGTAAAATTTACCCCCTGGTAAGTTTATTTCCTTAATATGTGTGTAGGTCAAACCGGGAACATTCCAACGGGACGGAGGGAGTAGTATTCAGACTAATACCGACCAGTTTGGCCTCCTAAGGAGATAATCTCCCTTCCACGCCTTCGCTGCACCACCTAGGAAATCCCCGTTCTCATTTTGAAGGACCATTCCCAGCCCGTAGATGTTAGACCGGACAGCTGCATCAACGTTGAGCTTTACACGTCCAGCCCTTGGTGTTGTCCCATACGTCCAATCCGCCTCCCTGAGTCCCTGGAGCTACCCCAGACCTTCCTTGTTGTTGAGCATTCTCCCATCTTGCAACAAAGGGTTTAGTTTTCACGAGATTTGTTTTGATTCCAAGGAGATCCCATTCCAGACCAGTTTGTGCAACTCCTCAGCCTTCACCTACGCCAAGAAATCAGCTCCAGCAGCGTTTACCCAAGCCCATCCTACCCTGCTCCCTGCCTCCTTGGCCACCGGGCATATAACAAAGAGATGGCTCACCAATTCTTCATACCTCCGCACAGCCCGCACCCTGTCGCACAGTCCACCTACCGGGACTTCAGATTCACTCTCTTAGGCAGCAAACCGCAACACGATTGCAAAAAAAGTGTTTAATCTTGTAGGGCAATCTCCAATTCCAAACCGAGGTCCCCCAATTTCCCTAATAAGCTGCCTTTAACAACTCCGTACTGAGAACCGCCCACTTGAATTCCATCTCTAGCTTGGAATGCTTTGGATTAGAAGAGTATCTCTTTCCACAAAAAGATCTCTTAGAATGTCCATGTCCCAACCCTTGCCCGCGTCACAGAGAAGATTGGCGACACATGCAGACCTTCAATTGGGGGTTTTAATCCTTATTTTATTATCAATGAATATTACAGATTCTAATTGTAACAAATTATATAATAATAATAAATATTATTATAATTATTACTATCATAATTTACTCCGCAGAAACTAATAGGTAATGAAAATGTGAGTCCTAAATTTGAATACACATTCCAATTATATTATATATAATTATTATATTTAAAATATGTACATACACACAGACAAAGTCCCGTGAATCGGCTTGCGAGCTACGAAATTAAAATAAACAGGTTTGAATTGAGCTTGTTAATTATTCGAATTGAATCGAACTCAAGTCGAACTTGAATATGACCGATCTCGAGAGTTTTTCCCAAACGTTCCATAAATAGCTCACGGACCGGTCATCTCATTTACCCTAGTTTAGAATATCAATTAGGTTTTCCTGATGTAAACTTTAGATTGGGCTCTTTGCTTTTCTGATAAGTAGAAAGTAGATCGTGAAGATCATGAAACGATCATCAGGAGATTGAAATTTGGGTGTTTTGACAAAAAGTCAAAGATGGGTTATTGTTTTGAGTAAGTAAAAAGCGATCCAATTAATTCATGCAGGGGTGAAGGTTTAATTTGGGAGTCACACCCAACTTACAAGACTATCTAGCACTCCCAACACAAAATTCCCAACTGTTTTTACCAGATCGTCACGCACTTGCAGTATTTGAACAACCTACAAGCTAGAGCAATCATGTTTTGATATGCTACTTTTTTGGCATTGCTTCTTTCAATGTTACAAAAAGTACTTCTCTGATCTCCTACCTTTTCCATGTTTCTCCGATGATGTATCGGCGAATTGTTCTTCTACTCACTACCTTTTTAATGCTTTGTTTGCAAACCATTAAAAAAAACACTTCCCAACTTTTGGCTTAAAAAACACTTATTTTATCAAACACTACTAACTTTTTTTGTTCTCGGCTTTCGTGTAGAATCTACTTTTTACTTTTTCTATTACATAAAAAGCACTTATTTTTTTTTACCAAACACTACCAACTTTTACTACTAATCACTTTTTCCAAAAAAATGCTTTTTTTAATCACTTCGTATATCAAGACTCGAGGGAGTGCTATTAGAGCATCTCCATTCATGATCTATAATAACAATTTTTTCTATGATTCTTATCACTTAAATATTGTTATGTAATTAATTTTAAAATAATCTCAAAATTCGTTTATGTCTCTCAGTCATCATCTTCAAATAATCTGCTTTTTCTCTATCCTGCATTAATCTCTATTACATATACTTTTCAAATAATCTTAAAATATTCCGGATTCATATTTTGATCCCAGATTATTGTAGCAAATAATCTCATTAAATAATCTATGTCACTCAATGATAATTCTCTAAAAAAATTGACTTGTCACCAATTTAATCTCATAATAATCCTAACAATGAAGATGCTTTTAGTGGTCAGAGATGAGCTGAGAGATTGCTGAGTTTATTAGCAGCTAGGTATCGTATGTGAAGGTTGAGCACCAACATCCAATCTAACTTGTCGTTCGATGCCAAATTAAATGAATAAATTACATTGTACAATTGGTGCAATACACGTAGCACCAATAATAAAACTTATTCTTCATAACTCTACTGAAAATGTGATCCTATCATATCGATCCTAAACACATTTATAAAACTAAATTTAAATATATGACGGGTTAGTTATGAGTATAAAGCCTTTTTGGTTGCTAAGGGGTTCACTCAACAAGTCAGTGTTGACTTTTAAAAGATTTTTAGCCAAGTCATCAAGCACAGTGAAGTGTGTATGGCTCATTGCGGCCTTCTGATGATGTAAAAAATACAGTGTCACATGGCTATCTTATGGAGGCCGGTCATACATAAATAGTCAAATTGGAAAGATGGCTATCTTATGGAGGCCGGTCATACATAAATAGTCAAATTGGAAAGATCTCGAAATAGGAGTAAAAACGTTTCAGAATTTCAAAATAAGATTGCCCTGTTTCCCCCTAAATAGGAGTAGTTATTGTCAAGCTTGGAAAATACTGCCATATTTAAAGTTCGGTACTGCAAAAAAATAGCAGTAATTCATCTTATTTAGGGGAATAGTATTTGTATCGCGCGTTGCACGATTAAGTAAATGCCTAATGCCCAATAAATTAATAAAAACTACGTAGTATAGAGAGATTCTCAGTAAGCATTATCTATTAATAAGGTGAAAAATGTTATACTCATTCGAGTCACAAATCAACCTTTTGTTTTTATAAGTGCAAGCGGGCGGCTCATGTATTATATTATAGCTAGGAAAATAAAAGAGTAACACTCAGAAATAACTCACAAAATATTTGCAAATGGGGGATATTGCAAAAATGGGGCTGCTAGGAAATTTTACTTGGCGGATGGGCGAGCCCATGGATAATGAATTAAATGGTATTATCAAGCTGGACTTGGGGGGATATCCCTTGTATAATTCACTAGACTTGTTTTTGGACTATTTTCATTGCGTTGTTTAGGATTTCTCTTTACTTGAGAGGTTTTTTGGTGTGGTCCCCCTTTCTTCATGTTGTTAATTTCTTTTGGTGTGTTATAATACTATATATTATTTGCAAAAAAAAACATCATTATCGGCATCAGGCCATATAAATGTACTAAGATAAACAATGTTAACAGATAGAGAATAATGAAGCACAATTGATTCAAATTGAACAAGCAAATCCAAGAAAGGAAAAGATAAGGTCCAAAATTGAGGCTAAGAGTATCTCACATTTGATTTCATAGCTCTTTTTTTACTTCCATTAATCCGTTATTCGTTTGACTCCGCGGCTCCGCCTATGTGTTTTTTTCCATGGCAATTTTTTTTTTGAATCAAAAGTATATAACAGTATAACACATGACGAGAAGGAAACAAATATATAATATCTCGGGATTTGAAACGGCCAAATGAAGAGAATTAAGAGAAGTTAATTAAACTTAATAAATGAGAAAATAAGCGAAACAAAATAATTCGTAACACAACAAAAGTTAAATGAACAAACAAATAAAACTCTCTAACTGATTCATGCGCTTAACAAAGTTATTAACGTCTACGACAAAGACGAAAGATGACGTACATAGGATTAAGATTACAACTAATTTTTGCTTTGAGTTACACCAACATTTTTTACATACCTTTAAACCCTTACCCCTATTCATGTTTATAATATTTTTATATGTATATAACATTTATTTTAGTCATATCACTTGCACCATTACTTACACAGCTCATGGACATAAGAGGAATTCATATAAGGTTTTGATTTGAATTACATCTAACCTTAGAGCTAAGAATTACCTGGCAATACCCAACTAT